TGTTGTCTCGGATTCTCCAGCATCTGCAGTTCCTACTATCTCAGGGTGAACCCAATCCAGTCTGGTTGGAAGGACTGATTCTGAGCTCTTATTTCTCTATTTCTCTAACTTATTGTTGGACACTTTATATCTGTTTTTCTAATTCTCTTACCCTAAGAATTTATTTGAGAATCAATGCCTTGGTACCTAACCTTTTTTAATGGTGTGAGTGTGTGTGCAACTGTACTAACTAATTTTAAGGTAGAGAGATCATGCTTTCTGTTTTGACAGCATCACCTTGATAAATTAAGGAGATCTTATGGTGGGGTCACCTGTAGCACAACACGAACCCAAGATTGCAGTTGAGGCCCCCTTCATGGGTGTGGAACTTGGCTACCAGCCTCTGCTCAGCGATTCTGCATTGTTGCGTATCTTGAAGTCGGCCTTGGAGGATGCTTACCTGAAGATCAGAGGCTGAATGTCCTTGACCACTGAAGTGACTTCCCCCACTGGGAGAGAGCATTCCTATCGTGATTGTTGTGCGGTGTCCATTCATCCATTGTTGTAGCGTCTGCATGGTCTTGCCAATATAACATGATGTGGGGGTGGGGTGCATGCTTGCCTGCAGTGTTTGAGATAGACAACATTGGCTGAGTCACATGAGTATTGTGGGTGGGTGATATTCCCATGTGATGGTAGTGTCCATGTCGATGAACTGAATGTCCTGCAGACATTGCTGTGGCAGGATTGTGTGGTGTTGTGGTCGATGTTCACAGCAAACTACCCAGCCTTCAGGACGACAATGTCTAAGGTTTGGCAGTTGTTTGAAGGTAAGAAGTGGAGGTGTAGGGATGTTCTTGGTGAGATGCTCATCGTTATTGAAGGCTGTGAAGAACATGGCGTCCTTTCTCCCCTCCAGGCAATGACTGGACAATGCTGTAGGCAAAGATGCCCTGAGGCATGGTGTATTGGTGTGACCATGCAGACACTGTAAACAATGGATGAATGGACACTGCCCAACAATCACCAGCCAAGTTCCATACCTATGAAGAAGGCCTCAACTGTGATCTTGGGTTCATGTCATGCTACAGGTGACCCCACTACACTGTTCTGTATCTGTAAAATCTTCTTTTTACTTTCCTGTTTTGACAGCATCACCTTGATAAATTATGATCTCTCTACCTTTAATTAGTTAGAACAGTTTTGAATTACTTATTATGCATGCATGCTCTACCCACCCACTTCATCCAACATGTTTGTTTATTTGTAGATACATTCTATTTTTGTTCGAACCACACCGACTGTCTACAAAGTGTGTTATATCTTTTTAAGTTCCAGCTTTCAGAATAAAACTGGCCTGATTTCCAGGTTAAAACTCTGAGATTCTGAACAGAGCCTTGCACCTACAATCAATGTCTGACCTGAGATGTCACCCTCTGTATAACTCCTATTGCTCTGCCTGATTGTTATGACAGCATAGCCCTGACCTTGCCTTAATAAACACTTTTTACAGCCTATCTAACGCTCTTGGTCGCCTGCAGAGACTTATCATCTGACACTCTACTCATACTTGTTGTCTGAACACCTAACCTCTCAGCCCTTGATCTCTCTGCCTATAAGGTCTTTGGGAGGGGGGGGGTGTAGTTATGAAATTAAAAAAACTAAAAGAACTGCAGATGCCATAAATCAAGAACAAAAACAAAGTTGCTGGAAAAGCTCAGCAGGTCTGGTAGCAGCTGTGAAGAAAAAAAAATCAGTTAACATTTTTGTGTCCAGTGACCCTTCCTCTGTCTGTGTGGCCTACTCACTCACTGCACCTGACGAAGGGGCTGTGCTCCAAAAGCTTGTGTGATTCCAAATAAACCTGATGGACAATAATGTTGTGTGACTTCTGCCTTTATCCACCCCAGTCCAACACTGGCACTCCCACATCATATCATATGTATATATTTACTTTAAGTTGGTCCCACTTCTAAAAATGTTCCCTGTGCTGTTGGAACTATTAAAATGTTATGTTGGAAAGAAAATCTTTCAAGTGTGAATAATATAGGATTCAGGGGAGTGAAATTGACTTTCAACAGAAGCCCAAAACTGAAAAAGGAGCTATTGAATCAGCTTGGGTGCTACTCCACTAGATCTTAGACTCTATGAAAACCAGTTTTAGGATATCTCAGGAAAGTTAAGGTGATAAGCATAAAACTGATATCAGCTCATCATTCTTGGCTTTTCCAGGTGTGGATGTAGTCTGACCAGTGGTTTCCACTGAGAAGGTGAGTAATTTAAGAGCAGAATCTTCCTTATTGGGTTGATGTCAAACATGCTGCCTGCCCAAACAGTTGAGATACACATACTCGTTCTTAGAAGGTGGGCCCATCAGATACTCAATAGACACCAGATGATGTACCAACTGAGTAAGCGACCCTAGGATATGACAACCTACAGATCTCTCTGGGTGGGACAATCAGAGGCTGGCAGCCCAAATACTCAGCAATGCCATTTTGACCACTGCTGGTACAACACCCCCTAGAGACTGATGACAAAGTTGCAACCTGGGGATAAAATTAAGGGGAAGAGCGAATGGCTATTTGTGGTGGGGGTGGGGGGGGTGTGGTTTTTCAGCATCCCTCCTTCTAGTCCATGATGAAATTCTTGCAGACAGAAGGCTTCTCCCTCCAACTGACAAGCAGTTTTACCTGTCAGGTATGTGCCTTTTTTTTGTTTTGGCTTTTTTTTAAAAAAAAAACCTTCTCAGCAACAATGTGGAAAGAGGCTCTTAAGTGGTCCTTACATGCTTGTTAATATGGCTATGTCTGCATCCAGTCCTGGCCAGCAGACATAACTTCCCACCGATTATCTTCATTTTGAAAATCCCCGGTGCAGTTCAGCCTGTATATGGCGGCGACCTTTGCTCGGGACAATCACTCTTGCTCCCTATAATAATATGTCGTCTTCCACGGTCTCTTTTTAGGTCAAGAAAAGTTTCAATTCTGGTTGTGATGGCCCTTTTGGTTTCCCCCATCGCCACCAGCTGTTTCAGTTTTGTCAAGACTGGATCTTTCTAAGTCAAAAGTCTCTAATATTGTCAGCTGTGACTGGAAGTGTATCCAGAAGATTTAACCCCACTGGTGGTCCGCCTGTCAACAGGAGGTGGCTCAATACATCTGCATTCACTACTTGGCCTTCTGTGGTGTTCTAACTTCTGGTTATACTCCATTATTATTAGAGCCCATCGCTGAATTCAATGGGTGGCACTGCCTTGTCCTCTTTCCATAGACCTATCAGGGGTTATCCATTATTATTACAAATTTATGACCATAAAGGAATCAGTAAAACTTCCTGACTCCAAATATGACCATCAAACCTTCCTTCTCTCTCTTGGCATATTTATGCTCCACATTAGCCAAAGTCCTGGATACTTACACTATTTGGGTGTTCCTCTCCATTGGACCACCTATGAGCTAATCTATACGAATGCCATATGGGGATGCATCACATGTCAATACCAGATCTCCATTGGGATTATAGTGTGCCTCCAAGGATAATAGCTGTTTCTTCACTTCCCTAAAAGATATAGCTTGGCTACATGACCATTTCCAAGGCTGCCCCTTTTTTAAAGAGTTAATACAAAGGTTCCAGGATGGAGACCAGGTAATGTAGAAACTTTCCTCGGGCTGGTTAATTACTATGGAAAGACCCAAGCTCCAGTACAGACGTGGGAGCCGGGCCCCAATTGATCGCCCTCACTTTTTCTTCCGCTGCATGTAATCCGATCTTGTCGATTCTGTAGCCCAAACAGGTCACTTGGGGTGCCTGAAACATTGCGCTTATGGGTATTAGTTGTAGCATACTTCTGGGAATCCTCATCTAACTGCATTTGCAAATAGGCATGGCTTATGTACAGCTTCGTGAAATACTGCCCCCTGCCAACTTTGCATTTACATCTGCTATGTAGGGAATTAGATATTTATCCAGCTGCGAAAAGCAGTTTACTATTCGTTTAAAATCCCCACAAAGGCAAACTGACCAATTGGTTTGACTGCTGCCCATTCCACAAACTGGACTGGTTTGATGATTCCTTTGCTTTTCAATCTTCTGATATCTGCCTCTACTTTTGCCCGTAAGGCAAATGGCGCTGGGCAGAACTTGCAGAATCATGGAATTGCTTCCTGGTCAGCATGTAAGGTGGCCTTGGCTCCTTTGATAGTCCCTAGACCTTCCTGAAAAAATTCTGGGTAATTAATTAGGATTTCACTCAAACAGCCATTTTCTAACCAAAAAAATGTTGAGCCAATCAAGGTGAATCTTTCTCAACCAATTTCACCCTATCAGGCTTGGGCCCTAGCCTTTCACTACAAGCCATGATAACTGAACCAGCTGCTTGTCATAAGAGACTGGAACCAAATTTGTACCTTTTTTAATCTATAAAGGTTCTCTGGTATAGGTTCTCAGTCTAGCCGAGGTCTTAAACTTTGGGATTGGAGTCCAGAGCAAATTTTGTTAAAGACTGATTCTGCAATCACTGAAACAGTCGTGCCACAATTGCCCTCCATTAGAACTGGGTGATCATTTAACCTGAAGTTTGTTTTGATTGGTTCTGATTTGGACATTGCGAAGCAATTTAACTGTTGCAAACCAGATGTAGGTGGACTTTCCAGGGTGTGTACTCTCCTGGGTACTGGCCTATGAGTTCTCTTACTCCGTTTAGGTCTAGTGGGACTCTTGCTGCCTCGAGTCTGCATACTGGCAGCAACTGCAACGGCTTGCTGGCCTGGATCCTGAAGAAACTTTTAAATGTTTGGCCAACGCTTGGCTTTGTTTTGGGGTTTTGCTGTGGGCTGACCTGTGGTCCCTCTGTGTTTAGTGAGTGAGGTTATGCAATTGCCTTCACTCTAACAGTGTTCCCCAAGCTCAGTAGGACTAGTAGAGAGTGTCCACTTCTGTCGGAATACTACAACTCATATGCTCTACTTGCCGCATTTTCCCATGATAAATCCAGTTGTAGTGCCTGTTTGAAGTCAAGTTGGGCTTCAGCTAGTTTAGCGCTTTTGCATAGTTACATCATTAATCCCACTCTCGTCGCTGCTGAAATAACACCACAGCAACTGGTATCCCATCACTAAATCACCCTTTTATTTACATGAGGGAGAGTCCTTCAACTGATCCAGGTCCCACAGAGCCAGCTGTCAGAGGGAACAGGACCTCTGATACTCCTGTTTATATCTGTCAGCCAGGACTCCCTGATTGGACCAGATTAATGGCCCCAATTGGGGAATTCGTATTCTATGAGGTCCACCTGGCTGACCTTGTTACAATTACAACAAAAATCTCTCTTGCAGTTGGTATCAGTTTCTTTACCTTGACACTTTGTTAATGCTGTGCTTTGTAAGACTTTGGCCAACTGAACATAGCCTGTCTCATTCAGCAGATCAAAGAATGGCTCCAAGACCCAACATCCTTCTCCTTCTAACAGTGAAAGCAGTTTTGCAACTTTAAGCTCTTGGCTACATTCCCTCTGCAAGAAAAAGAGATGGAATACCATCTAAAATTTAAAATATAAATGAATAAAATTCAAAAACTTAGATCACATTTCAGCAAAGAAGCAAGTGCAAAAAAAATCACTCTTTGTTTACATATCTTCCAAATGAATCTTCTGCGTACTTTAGTGAATTTCTGATTCCCTTCCTCAACTGTGTCTCCCCTGTATTCTTAAAACTGCTTTATATTTCTTGTGTACGTTCCGTAGTTGTCCAGTACCCCAGCCTTGTTTTTAGCCTTTTTCTGTGAGTCTTGAGGATGAGTGTCCACAGCTTCCAAATGTGTAGCACCTAGAAGGACAAGAGCATCTCAACTCCATGTTAGCATGCTCTCTCTCCACGATGCTGCCTGACCCACTGTGAGCTCCAGCACTCTGTTTTCAGCACAACCACCCACAAGTTCCCCTCCAAATCATGCACTAACCTGATCTGGAACTAACTCACCATTCCTACACTGTCACTGGGTAAAAATTCTGGAACTCTATCCTAACAGCACTGTGGGGGTACCTATACCCCAAGGATTGCAGTGGTTTTAGAAGGCAAGTCACCACCACTTTCTCAGCACCTTTTTAAAGGCAATTTTTGGGAATGGACGATGAATGTTTGTTTTTGTTTTAAAATCGATCTGTTTAAGCATGTTATGACACACTAGCTGGGGCAGATGGGACTTGATCCCAGATCTTCTAGTTCAGAGGTAGGGAGACTGCACCACAAGATCATTGGGTATTGAATTCTGGCCTAGCCAGTGATACCCACATTCTATGAATGAATAAAAAACTGCTTCTCTTGAGTGGTATCCATGCCAAGTCTAGTCCCATTCTCTGCTGACATCAGCTCAAGTCACTGCAACAATATTAACTGCCTTAATAAGTTTATCTTTTGTAAAGTCTACAGACACAGTGGGCAATTTTAGCACCCGTTTCCCAGATCTTTCAGTATTTCAACTTTCCATCAAGACATTTTGTTTCCTCCTTTACCTGGATTATTTGGATCTGTTGGTCAGGCAGAATTCCTTTTTCCTGGAGAAGTCTGTAGATCGCTGGTGACATCTGAAGCTGAGCGACAATTGAGGGATAATTTGCCCAAATCACATTTCTATGAAAGTCTTTGTTCAGTGTATTTTCATGGTTAGTTCTGAAATCTGGGATTCAAACACTTTCATTTAACTTTTGGGTGGCTGTATTGTCAACAATCCAATACATTGATTTGTTTCTCCTTTTTTTTCCAAATTATGATATTTATTAGAGTTTCTTAGTCACATTCTGGATGCAAGACAACAAGCAGTCATAATGGAACAAGTTAAGAAACCAAGGATGAGTTGGGAGGCACATTTTTTTGCTTTGCACCATCACTCTAGAATGCTGTCTTCCCCATCACAAATCTTTCCCTTTTTATTATTTCACTGTGTCCTATTCCCTGGCTCGGTAATTACTTAAAAAGTTGTCGATCTCTAACTTCTTCTTTGACATAGACTTATGGTTGAGGACAACTTACTTCTCTTCTGGGTGTGGTTTCTGCAGTGGCTGAATAGTCCAATCCTGGAGCCACAAACTGTTGCATGACTGGGGACATGTGGTGTTTGAGGTGGGTGGCTGGGATACTTTGGATTCTGAGCACTTTTCCCATTGCTTACACTTGGCCTCTGTTCCACTTGGTGACACTCAAAGTGGTTGATGGCCTTGTGGATGCTTGATTTCCAGTTTGTGTGTTCTAGGGCAAGCAATTCCTGTGTAGCAGTGAGAATGATGTATTTATGTAGGGCATGCATGACCATTGCTTCAACACTGGGGTTATTGATCTGGGACAAGACACTTTCATCTTTAACATTTCCTGATGAAAGATCATCAACTTGACACATTAACTCTGCTTCTCTCTCCACAGATACTGCCTGTTGAGTGTTTTCCAGCATTTTTTTTAACTTCTGTTAGCAGCAATATTTTCCTTTTGTTTCAGGAGAGAAGAGCACAGGAGAAGGAATTGGCAGAAGAAAGAATTAACAAAAGAGAAATTTTAAACAGATAACTGTACTCTGATCTAGGTGACTAACAAGATAAGTAGCTAGGACAGGAGGTGGCATGGTGGCTCAGTGGTTAGCAGTGCTGCCTCACAGCACTAGGGACCCATTTTCAATTCCAGCCTTGAGTGATGTCTGTGTGGAGTTTGCACATTCTCCCCATGTCTGCGTGGGTTTCCTCCCACTGTGCAGGTGAGGTGGATTGACTATGCTAAATTGCCCTTAGGGGTCTAGGGTGGGAAATGCAGGGATAAGGTAGGGGCTAGGTCTGGATGGGATGCTCTTTGGAGGGTCAATGTGGACTCAATGGGCCAAATGGTCTGCTCCCACACTGTAGGGATTCTATGACAGATCTTTTGAGGTTCTGCAGTTATATTTCTGGGTATAGCTTTTCCCACTTAGGGTGACTTTGACATCCTCTCCCTACCCAACATATTTTCACAATGAAAATGTCATTTCAACAACATATATAAATGTGAAAATTACCCATATTTATTGAACTGTGTAAACAGAGCCACCAGGAAAGGATCTCTTCTTTTTAGTTGCTGGTTTGTTCACTGCTGTGAAAAGAAAAGAATGTGGGAAAAGTGATTTTTCTACAGCTCCTGCTCCTGCTCCTGCTCCTGCTCCTGAAGTCAGTTTGTTGGCTACTCGTATGCAGTATGGCCATTGGTCAAGTTAATGTGTGTCTGTACCATGCAAACTGTGAAGGCTTTGAGTGGCAAAGTGGTAATGTCACCAGACAGGTAATCCCAGAGCCAGGCTAATGATCTGTTGATATGAGTTCAAATTCCACTGTGGTGACAGGTGAAGTTTAAAATTCAACTAACAAATATCAAGCTAGTTTTAGGTCTGGTGACCATGAAACTATCAACTATTGTTGTGAAAACCCATCTGGTTCACTCATGCCCTTAAGAAAAGGAAATCTGCCATCCTTACCTAACCCATCATGACATTGGTTGACTGTTAACTGTCTGCCAACAACACATAGAAAGCTTCTCTGTTCAAGGGTAATTAGAGATGGGCAGCAAAAGCTGTCTTTTCCAGTGATGCCTTCATTGTTGTAGGAAGCACTGCATCTGACATCAGTGAGGGGATTGTTGGACAGGGTTCCTGCTCTGGATCGCTATCAATAGATGATCCGCTTTTGGAGTATGAGTGGTAACTGAATGAAGACCAGAATCAGGCTTTCAATGGGGTAACACTTACTGCACAGGTTCGAGGTGATGTGAAAATCTGCAGTTGGTCTGAGTTGCCAGGAAATGACCATTGCCCAATAATAGTCAAAGTCACAGCAGAAAAGAATGTAAACTAAAAACACTTTTTTTTAAAATTCTGAAGTATATTGCCATTTTCAGCCTAGGTCTGAGATTTAACCCCTGGAAACAGAACTGGGTGCTTGCTCCTTGACTATACTTGGGAAGATAGAATAAAAAAAAGCTGGTATTGTAGTGAGAGAGATCTATTATTGTTTTCTTGTCATAGAAATATGTGAAAGTAAATGAAACATTGTATTCAAAACAGTTAACCACTGGGTTTCTGGAACATGTTGAGAGGTGAAATGTCATCTCTGAGTTATAATAGTGTCACTAGGTTATGCATTACTGATATTCCTCACTCAGATTTCTCACTGCCTATTCCGAAGATATTACCCTACCCAATACTTCCAAATTTGTGTCTGATGAGTGGCCATTCTTCACACTTAAGTCTGGCCATGCTGTTTTAATTGTTGAAGGGGCATCATATGCAATCCTAGTCCTGTGTTCACCTCACCTGGCATCCCTACCTGGCTTTTAACTGTGCAATGAAAGGGAGCTGGAAAGAACCCTTCTTTGGTTATTTTCATTCGTAGTTCAGGGAGATTGAGGCCAATTATAGATCTCCAGCTGTCTTCTCAGTTGAGTTTGGCTCAAACCTGGGATCTTCCTTCTCTGTAGCATAAACATGCTCCTGGGAGCCTTTATTACTGAGATGGGGAATAGGGTAGGATAGAGACTGTATTTTGTTTCAAATTCGTATTCAGTCTGTGTAAAACAGATTTAGATTAAAGAGCATTGGAAGCTCAATTGTGGCAGAGCATGAACATTGCCGTTACATTAGGCAGATGGAGACAGACTAAGTCTCAGGTCTGTCTATCAGTTGAATTTGCTTGGCATCAACGTGACATTCTGTGCCTACTCTATGCGAGATACTTTAGACTCTTTTAAGGGAAAAAAAATTATTTCACAGCCTGGCTCTTAGTCTCCCAGCAACAGTAGGCGCCAGTACTGAAAATTATGTCACCGTGCTGGCACGCCTGCTGTATCGTAACCATGGTACCCAGTGTGCCTACTGGTGGCACCGTACTCTCATACCACACATGGAAACAATTCATTCAGCTGGCCTGCCAGTCATAAAATGCAAACAAGGGAGTCTCATACTCAACCAAATCAATTCAATTAGGCATTAATGAACTGAAAGACCCAAGTGTATCATGGATTTCATCAGACCAGGATCTGCGTGCAGAAAATGGGAAACAAAATACAAGTGTGGATAATAATGGGCTGAAGGGGGCCATAAATTCCTGCATTGAGTTTAGTGTTACTGTTAAACAACATGTTCATTTAATATTTTTATTGGAGACTTTTCAGTCACTCTTGCTGTCTCTGTTTGATATCCCCCATCACAGCAGCAGCTACAGGGCAGAACAATGAGGGGTCCTGGCGACTGTGTGAAACTGGGCCTCTATTGTGGGTTTTACAGTACTTGTCGGCCAATCAACAGCATTTTATGCATCTACTCAAGCTCATTTGCATGAACTCATTCTCAGCTGAACAGACCCATTTGGCATTGTTTCAACTTTGAGTCAAAGTCCCATGAAGGTGCCAGATGGGATCTTTATTTCCAGACTTTCTTTCTCACGAGAATTTATAGGGACATCACAGTAAGTTTTGCATAGTGCAAATCCAGGCAATACAGAATTAAGCAAGCCCAATAGAAATCAATAGCTGCCAGTACAACCACCTCATTTATACACACTGCAAAACCTTAGCATTTGTTTTGCAATTACATCTTCTCTAGGAGGTGGCAACTCTCTGCTGGGTTACAGTTGTGCAGATCTCAGCTGCCTCCTAAATAGCTGAACCATGATGCTATTTTTCATGCAGTCCTAGATTGTGAGTGCCAGTAAGTTCTTCAATGGTCTTGAGCATCCCAGTTAAGCTTCACTGTCTTCTGGCATCGATAAATAGTAATCAGAAACAGGAATGCTGGGTCTTTTCCTCACTTGATTCCAACATTGCTCGGCTTCATCATATAATAAAAAAATAGAACTTGCATTTATACACCTTTCATGATCTTCAGACATCCTGAGCTACTTTTCGGCTAATGGAGTACTTTTGAAGAACATTATAATGTGGAAAACCTATTCCTTTTTTTTAACACAGCAAGATACCACAAACAACAGTTCAATGATGGTCAAGTAACCTGATTAAACGAAATAAAATCAGAAAATGCTAAAGAAACTCGGGAGGCCTGGCAACATCTGTGGAGAGAGGAACTGAGTTAATGTTTTGAGTTCAATGTGACTCCTTCTCAGAGTTCCAGGATCTAATTTCAAGGAAGAGTCATATTTGAGTCAAAATATTAACTTTGTTTCCCACTGCACAGATGCCACCAGACCTGATTTTTTTTTTTGTTTTGTTTTGTCTTTGTTTTGGAGCTTCAGCATTGCACTTTTATTAATCTGTTCTACTGGTGTTGGTTGAGTGGTAAACCATGGCCAGCACTTCAGGGAAAATTCCCCTGACTTCTTTTGCACCCACCTAACAGGCAGGGGAGACCTTAATTTAACATCTCATCTTTGAAGCAAGCACCACTGACAGGGCAGAACCCTCTCAGTGCTACAGTGGGGGCTTAGCCTGGGATTTGTGTTCACTTTGCAGGATGGAGTGTTGAACCCACAAACCCCTGACTCAGAAGTAAGTATGGCAGCGCTCAAGCTGTGGAGGACACTTAATGTACTCCATGCCAACACAGTGATGATAGCAGGATGATAGAACATTCTACAGGTTAAAAATGGGTTTGTATGGTTCAGCTAATCATATGCTTTCTGGTGAAACAAAAACTTTGTTTTTTAAAAAATTAGATGAATTACTCACAATGGTCTGTGCAAACTCCACCAGTCTGCGATTAAGGTGTGTTCTGAGCCATGGAGTAGGCTGTGTTTACATGGCTGGTTGCTAGGTGACCGCACATAACATTGCTAAATTTACCCGGCTGGGTAAGGATCTTATCCAGGATGAATAAGTGTTCCAGCATTGCTCATCCTAATCTGCTAACTTACAATGCTCAGTTTAAAATGGTTACAGGGGGATTTTGAATTATTGTTTGTTTTATTCAAGTGCAATGTTAACAGGGTTGCATTTAGACAAGAGTTAAGAAACTATGCCCAGAAATTAGGCTCACGTGGGGAAGGTATAATCAAAGGAGGCCTTTCAACTGATCCTAGCTCATCATTCAAACAGCTCTGTCCACATAATGTCTCACTTTTGTTAACTATTCCCAGAATGTTAGCGTCTACTACTCCACCCAGATATATTTCCCACCTACTGACCGCTCTCTGTGTAAAATGTGAATCTTAAATTTGCCTGAAAATATCTCTGTTACCTCACTCAATGTTCCTCCAACTTTAGCCTCTGTGTGTCCCTATTGTTCCTTGCTGTTCCATTGGACATTGTGCTTCAACTGTTTAGGCTCAAAACTGAGGCCTTTTTCCTAAACCTATTCTCATACTTTAAAAGTTGAGCAGGGCAAATTATGTGACAGAGTCTCGCAAAACAAATAGACTTATTTGGTGGGCATCCATATTTGACAGCCACTTATAATCTACAATCATTGCTGAACCAATTCAAGAAACTAAATTGGACCACCCATGTAAATATTATCGCCGCAAGAGCAGGTCAGAGGCTAGGAATAACTCACCTCCTGCCTGTCCACCATCCACAAGGCAAAAGTCAGAAGTGTGATGGAATACTTTCTCTACTTATTTGGATGAGTGCAGCTCCAACAACACTCAAGAAACTTGACACCATTCAGGACAAAGCCGCCCACCTGAGTGACACCAAATCCACAAACACACTCTCTCTCTCTACCTCCAATGTACATTAGCAGCGTTATGTACCATCTAGACGATACATTGCCGAAATTCACTAGGGATCCTTAGAAAGAACCTTCCAAACTAATGACCACCACTACCTGGAAAGACAAGGATAACAGATCCGTGGGAATGCAACCAGCTGGAGGTTACCTTCCAAGTCATTCGCATCCTAACTTGGAAATATATTGCTGCTGCTTTAGTGTCGCTAGGTCAAGATCCTGGAACTCATTCCCTAGCAGCATTGTGGGTGTACCTGTGGTGAATGAACTGTGGTGCTTCAAGAAGGCAGCTCACAACCACTTTCTCAAGGGAAATTAGGAATGGGCAATAAATGCTGGCCCATGACTGAATTTTGTAAAATTTTACTTCAAATGTCAGAGAATAGCATTAATTATAGTCAAGGAAATTATTAAGTACAATCATATGACGTGGTTTAAAAAAAAAGCGCTGCTAAAATTAAACACAACTTGCCTGAGTGATGGTTTTCACAGTAGACTTGACTTTGACTTGGGCCAAATGGTGAACATGAGCTTGGGCCATTTTAATACCTGGCCTGAATTTCGTCAACAGATTATCGGCTTTGGCATGGAAAGAAGCTGCAGCCGGGGACCCACAGAAACATGCGAGATAAACAAAGAAGGATCACAAGCAAATGTGGAATGGGGATCTTTCACAGAGCTCAGAGATACAATCCTCCTCATCTTAGTCCCCAAAGAAACTCTGAAATAATAAACTATTTTCACCTTTGACCTTCATCTGGGGCAATTGGTAGGAGGTGTAAAACATGCAGCTGCCATTTTAATGTGAGTTGGGGATCTGTTTGACAAATGTTTGCCAACCCTAATTGGATGTATTCCAGGAGGTTTCACCACATGACATCATCTTTCCAAATGCCTTGTCTTGCATTCTACATCTCCAAAATTTTCATAACTGATAAAGCAATGTGTTTAAAAAGGTGATAATATTGACAAATTTCCTAATGTGCCTGTGTTTCTTCTCCTGGGGTTGAGCATGCCCGTGGTCCCAAGTGATTAATCTTTGATTGCTGGAGGTTACAGGACAATTCTGCATGGTTGATGATTCTAGATTGATACTATGAGATCTCAAACTTTGAGTGATAATGATGTCTTACCTGGCCAGAGTGAAGTTTTCACACACGGTGTTCAGATGTTATTACGATAGCACAAGGCACACGTGCAGTGTGATTATGATGATTTTCATGCTGGCAGTGTAATTCTTTGGTGGCACAGTGGTTCAATGGTTAGCACTGCTGCCTCACAGTGCCAGGACCCAGGTCTGATTCCACCCTCATGCGACTGTTAATGTGGAATTCTTCCCATGTCTGCTTGGGCTTCCTTCCCACAGTCCAAAGATGTGCAGGTTAGGTGGATTGGCCATGCTAAATTGCCCATAGTGTCCAATGATGTGCAGGCTAGGTGGATTAGGCATGGGAAATGTGGGGTTATTGGGATAGGGTAGGGGAGCGCAGGTCTGGGTGGGATACTCTTCGGAGGGTTGGTGTGGACTTGATGGGCTAAATGATCAGCTTCCACGCTGTAGGGTTCTATGATTCAGTGAAAGTTTGAAGTGACTCACAGATTTTGCAGAGGGATCTTCAATGGCATTTAACTCATGCTGTATCTGCTTGGCAAATATTTACTGATGACACTGCATGTTCAATTCCATTCCTTAGCAATGATGGTTCTAACTCTGTACGCAAAAATTTTTGTTTATAGAAGTTCAAGGACAAATCATCTATTAAAATACCAAACTATTTCAAATCATTGACTGTATTTCTTGAAATTTGGCATTTGCAATGCATTTCTGAATAGTTTGAATGATAGAAGCACCATTAGAAAAATATACAATAAAATATCTCCCTGTCACACTTAAAATTCTGTCCCTGGCATACCCAACATTCCCTATCATGGCTGGAACTCCCTGGTTAAACAATGATTCCTATCTTGATTGCCATCCTTACCACTGTTTTAGTGTGATCAGTGCAGAGACAACATATTTTTGATCTTTCTTTTGATGAAAGCTATATATGCTGTATTGAATGTAATGCCAGGCATCGATGAGTTAACAATCTGGATATTGAATTCTATGTATACCGTTAAAAATACCCAAAGTGCAGGACGGTGCCAGAGTTTTTAAAAAAAGGACAGAGGACGAGGCAAACAAAGCAACAATCATTGGGCAATGCCTATTTGGGATCTAAAGGTCTGCCAGTTGTTCAGAGGGAATTTGTAGCTTGATGTCTGTGATACAGTGTGAGTTAGTGCTGGGGAAGAATTTTGATTTCAATGCAGTAAGGATGCAAGAGTGCTACATTTGGAGACTGGGAGATACAATATAGGAAAGTTCAGAGGAATAATGGGCCGTTATCTATATATAATATGAAAAATGACACGTCTAGTGTGCATTCCCTGTCAGTCACAGTTTGCTGCCACACAAAATGTCACATTCAAATCTCTGAGATGCAACTGAAGAAGTGTTAAGGAAATGTCCCCAGGAATGCTTGAGCCAGAGCATATGGGGTGTCTTTATTCACTTTGACAAAAGCTTACTTAGTTTTTACTTAGCAGTAATTAGTCTTTCATCCTCAAAAACTCATTGTGATCATTCCAAGGCATATTTCCTTGTCTAATCAGATAGAGAGAGAGCAAGAGATAATAGAGGTTAAGCAGAGAATGCATACAGAGATGATGAGCTGTTACAACTCACCTCCGCTGGGAAAAGTGAGATTGCAGAGAAATTAAACACAGCTCACCTGAGATTGTGTCTTCAAATGATCTTTAGGAACAATTTCAAGTGAGAGAAAGGTTGGAGGCAAAAGGTGAGGGAGATAACAAGCTCATGTACGTGTTAATGCATTGTAGCAATCTTAAGGAGGAGCTGTGCAATTGTGGCAACATGTGAGAATGACATATTCTGTCACAATAGAGCTGATGTACATGCATCACTATGTTGAGTGATAAATACAGAGCATGCAGTTGAACCAAAGAAAGTAAAGTTCCTTCCATCATGATATATTACAGAGTGGTTTTTTTCTCAAATGCAGTCATTGTATAAAACCTTTTAAATGAACAAGATACCTTTTGAAACTGGTCTGAAACATCTGTACTGTGAGAAAAGCCACAATGGGGTTGTGCATCTTTGATAAAGCTGCACAGGCCACCCTCTCAGCAACAGTCAGTCTAACACTCCTGAGAACAAAGACCCTTTTCACTGGTTTATCTCCATTGCATTTCAAAGCCATCTAATTCAGAATCATCTGAAAAGAGGCACCAAGATACTGCAAATACTCTCTCACTCTGTGAGCTCTGTCCTTTCTTTAAGACAGGAGGCAAACCTATTAGAATCCCAAACTCATGTGCTTCTACCGATGCATAGAGATGATACTTAGAACGTGGCCCGAAGCAACTAAATTAAATCAGAAGCACTGATACAATTCATCTGGTGGGACCTTCCAAAATTTGACTCATGTTGTGATCTAGCAATAAGTTCAACAGATAGAGAAGTTCTGGAGGGAATCAAGGCCCAGTTAATATTGGCCCATGGTTTGTGAATCCAAGAGGGGTACTTCTTCCCTCTGACTCCACAAAATACAAAACACTGTCATAGCCAACAGCAATTTTTAAATGTGAGAGGCTGGCCAGCATTTACTGCCCATCCCTGGTTGCCCTTGAGAAGGTGCCGGTGAGCTGCCTTCTTGAACCGCTGCAGTCCATGTGCTGTAGATTGATCCACCATACTTTTAGGTGGGGAATTTCAGGATTTTGACCCAGCAACAGTAAGGGAACATCTTTATATTTGCAATTCAGGCTGGTGTGTGGCTTGGAGGAGAACTTACAAGTGGTGGTGTTCCCATCTGCTGCTCTTGTCCATCTAGATGGAAGTGATCATGGGTGTGGAAGGAGCTGTTTAAGGATCTTTGGTGAATTTCTGCAGTGCATCTTGTAGATAGTACTCACTGCTGCTAGTGACTGTCGGTGGTGGAGGGAGTGGATGCTTGTGGATATGGTGCCAATCAAGTGGGCTGCTTTGTCCTGGAT